TGGGAGGCTGCATTACAAACACTAAAGCATGTAACACTTTGTTCAGTTCACACCTACTCACTCCTGTACATCAAGGACTGCCCTCCTCATCCTCCCCAGCCTACAGCAGCAAGATGTGTCTGCTTCACCCAGTCCAGCACTCGCAATAACTAAGATCACAACAGCCTTACAGCCAGGAAGAAAGCACCTACAACTCCATGGCCACTGAAAGCAACCTGGAGATGCCCGGTCCTTCTCCTCCCACAGGGGAGAAGAGCTTTATCCCACAGATATTTGTAGTGTGGAGACTCTACTGTGCAATACTGAGAGTTAACAGGACAGAATTTGGGTGCTCTCACCTCTGCTGGGCCCGGAGCAGCCCAGACCTTGGTAGGGCAGGGGCGGGTTGTGGTTATGGGCAGCCCTGTCCCCATCACTGTCCTTGCAGTTCACCCCGCAGGAGCTGTAGGTTCTCTCCCGAGTGATACCAAGGTACCTGATAAATGCCAAAGATGGATGGACTGGGAGATAAACTCCAAAAGCAATTCTCCACTTTTTGACACCTTGACAGCCAAATGGGTTTAAAAAATGGCACGGAGACCAGCGCAAGAAATAAAGATTTTATAAATAAAACAGGGTCAGAATCAATCACAGCTTCCCTACTGATCCCTCAGAACCAGCGGGAAGAGCAGCAGGAACAGGCCATCCCTCAGAGCGAGCACGCTGAGCCACGGCAGCTCTGCCAAGCCCTCCTGCCAGCCAGCCAGCCCGGCACCTCACCAGCAACACCTGCCAAACGCCCTTCCTGCCCCGGCTCCCTCCCTCACAATCAGCTCCTTGGAAATCTCTCCGGCCTCATGCCACAAGTTAAGACATTGTCTCTCTCCTCCATCTCCATCCAGCTGCATTCAATGGAAAGATCATCTCATTTTGTTTTGAATGGGCTCGCGAACCTTCACACTGAAGGCAAAACGTTCAGAGACCCAATTGAACTGGAAATCTCTTCGTTTTAAGGTCCTTTCCTTGTTTTTTAGGTGAAATACTGTGTTGGGAGATGGTGCTGATCAGCCATCGCTCCCTGACGTGACAGTCAACCCCATCACCTGCAAACACAACCGGACGTGGCTCCTGCTTGGGAGGCCTAACTCAGCCCTGTAGGGCTTGGGGTCTCAAATTGTCCTGCTCCAGCCCAAGAAATCAAAGCCAAGTGCATCTAAATCAACACTAAACCATAATTTCCCCCCATCTTTTACTAGATTACCCCAGAGTTTTGCCAGCAGCCAGCTTTGCCACACTGTGGTGGGGCTGCTGGAATGCAGGGGGAACGCTGTTCCCCTCAGCACCTGGCCCACTGGCAGGCTCTGCTGCTGCTTTTAAGTATTGAAAACTCCCCCTTTCTCCATCTTATGCCATCGTCTCCCAAAGTTTCTGCTCACATAAAAGCTTCCCTGCTGCAGCTGCCGGCTCCTGCGCTCTGTCTCTGCAGAAGCGGCTGCGGTGAACGGGGAAAACAAATGAGATTCTGCAGCGGTCCCACACAAGTTTCCCCAGCTCTCCATGGGAATTCTGCCTGCAGAAGCCCAGCAGCAGCCAGCCTTTGAAATCGTATTTCAAACTTTTCCTTTCATCACCCCGACAGCAATAATTGCAGAAGCTCCGTTCCCCCTCCTTCCCCCTCCAAAGCTCCTCCAGATTCAGGCAGCCAGATCCCGCACCCCAGAGGTGCTGGCTCCCGAATTCTCCTGGCAATTCCCATGGCAGGGGATGAACGGAATTAAAAAGCAATTAGAGGAGCATTGGAGTCTCCCAGAGATCGCCCCCTCCAAAGATTACACTGAAGACTTATTTCCATCTTTTTTTATTTTTTAAGAATTCAATTGGGTGGATTATTTTGGCTGGATTCTGACAAGTCTCTGCAGTACCAGCAATCCACAGCGCTCTGCGCTCCACCAGCACGCAGAAATAAAAGCTGCTTCTGAGCAACACTGGCTAACCTATTTCCATCCTCCCAAACGGCTCAAACAGTAAACAAAGAGCATTATTCAGTTGAAAACAGAGATGTTTTCTAATTAAACCCACGTTAGTCATTATGAAATCAAGCAAATGTAGCTGCTTTATAAAGAACTGCTTCATCTCGGTTGTTTCCTCTTAACATTTCTAGACCCTAATTTGCAACTGAATTCAGGCGAGCAGACCCCTCCTCCAAAGCTCCTCCAGATTCAGGCAGCCAGATCCCGCACCCCAGAGGTGCCGGCTCCCGAATTCTCCTGGCAATTCCCATGGCAGGGGATGAACGGAATTAAAAAGCAATTAGAGGAGCATTGGAGTCTCCCAGAGATCGCCCCCTCCAAAGATTACACTGAAGACTTATTTCCATCTTTTTTTATTTTTTAAGAATTCAATTGGGTGGATTATTTTGGCTGGATTCTGACAAGTCTCTGCAGTACCAGCAATCCACAGCGCTCTGCGCTCCACCAGCACGCAGAAATAAAAGCTGCTTCTGAGCAACACTGGCTAACCTATTTCCATCCTCCCAAACGGCTCAAACAGTAAACAAAGAGCATTATTCAGTTGAAAACAGAGATGTTTTCTAATTAAACCCACGTTAGTCATTATGAAATCAAGCAAATGTAGCTGCTTTATAAAGAACTGCTTCATCTCGGTTGTTTCCTCTTAACATTTCTAGACCCTAATTTGCAACTGAATTCAGGCGAGCAGACCCCCGGACCCGCAGACAGCCATAAACGACTTCAGGCAGGCTTTGTACCAGCTTAAAAGTCTTTCTGCATAAATCCAAATACAAAAAAAACAAAAAAAACCAACCCCAAAAGCCAGGGCTATGTCTTTGTATCTCGACGCTTAAATGTATTAACAATAAAATCCTCTGCTGTCAGCCTCTTGGAGCAACGGCTTGTAAGAAACGGCACGTTCTGAGACACCTCCCAGGTGTTGCACTTGTCCAGCTGAGGCGCTCGCTAAAACTCCAGCCGAGATCTCACGTGCACCTTTCCTACATTTCCCCTTCTCAAATTGCTGCCAAACCATTCCACATCGCGCTCTACCAGCTACAGATTTTATTTAGGACTCTCCAGGGAGTTCTTTCAGCCATTTCCCCGAGCCGGGGACAGAGGGAAGAAGGTGACCCAGGATTGGTTTCGTCTGGGTGCAGCCGCTTTTCTCCACGCCGAACCCCAAGAGTCGCTGCTGGGCCTTGACCTCAATTTCCTGCTTTCTTATAGCCCAGGCTCGGGGCCGTTTCGGCCACTTTGGGTACCCAGGCAGATGTGAAGTTAATTAAATCCAAGCGTCGAGCTTAACGATACTCAGCCACCAATTTAAATGTGCTGATATCTCTGCAGGAACCGGCAAACCGCCGGCAGAGCCTGCCAGCACCTTCACAGTGACAGAGGGACGGGTTCCGACTTCCCTTACACCCAGCAGACACGGGGAGCTCGATTCGGGGCCGCCACCGACCTGAGCATTACACAGACCCAGCCCAGTGGCAGCAGTTTATAGGTGACTGGGGAGACTTGTCTCAGAGACAATCCCCAGCTGTTAACTTTGAAAAACAGTAACGGAGGTTTTCAGAGAGCCAGCCTAAGGGATAACACAATGCATAGGAATTCACAGAATTTTCTTTTTTTTCACAGAATCTTCTAGGTTGGAAGGGACCTTAAAGATCATCTTGTCCAACCGTCAACCTAACTGACAAAAATAGACACCCACACAACAAACAAGAAGCATCACCATCCCTAAACCATACCTCCCAGCACTACATCAACCTGTCTTTTGAACACCTCCAGGGATGGGGCCTCAACCACCTCCCTGGGCAGCCCATTCCAATGGCTGAGAACCCTTTCAGTGAAAAATTTTTTCCTAATATCCAGCCTGAACCTCCCCTGGGGTAACTTGAGACCATTGCCTCTCGTCCTGTTGCCTGTGAAGAGACCGACCCCCACCTCTCTACACCCTCCTTTCAGGTAGTTGTAGAGAGCAATTAGGCACCTTCCGGGCTTCCAGCACCAGCAGAGGTTTGCCCTACCCCAGAAATCCCAGGGATGCCCACAGTAGCTGCATGCAGGGAACCAACCATAAATAAATTAAAATAAATGACCACGCAGCCAGACTCTGTGCTCCTCCTGAGCGGCCGAGACACATGAAACTACAGAGCGAACACTGCTTGAAGATCTGTTCTGAAATTTAATGTAGATGCTCGTTTAACGAGAAACCTGCCGTGGGATGATTTCAATGTTAAGATTCCCGCACCCCCCTTGCCTGCCCTCCCTTCCCAAACCCACCTCTCCTTCCCAAACCCAAACCCACCTCTCCTTCCCATCACCCACTGACCCATCCTGGGGCTCCTTTGCCCTCGACGAGGTTCAACACAAAAACAAACAGGAAGAGAAGGCAGCAAAGCCGGAATGGGAACCTTTCCACAGCGGTTATACCACCTGGGGCCATGTCACCTCTTCCCGAGGCCTCTGGAGCGGCCACCTGAGTGTCCCCAGCTGCCGGGGGCCACAGCCCCCATCTGAGGGTGCTCGCAGCCCTCCTCAGCCGGCCATGGACACCCCCACCGTCCTCAGGGGGTGAGCAGAAGGGGCCATTAAGCAAAACCCTCCTTCTTCCCTGTGTCACCCCCGGCAGGACGCGTTCCCTGCCCCCCAGGAAGGCCTCGCAGCCCGGGGGGGGTGGGTCTCACCCAAACCTGCCAGGTTTGACCGCAGCGGAACGAGGGCTCCAGCCCGCGGGCCTGCACTAACCCGGCTGATTTCACCTCAAAAAAAGCAGAAAACAACGACCGGGCCTTGCCCAGCGGACACCGCTGAGGGGAAGGAGGGGGACGCAGAGCCCTCAGACCCCCCCCGCCTCCCCGCACTCACCTCCCGCCGGGCCCGGGACCTAGGCCGCACGGCCTCCGCGGCCTACATCTCCCAGCATGCCTAGCGGCGGGCGACGCCTACATCCCCCAGCATGCCCGGCGGCGCGCTCCCCCCGCCCTCCCTCCCCCGGGCGGCGCAGGCGCAGAGCGGCGGGCGGGCAAGATGGCGCTGCTGCGGCAGGCGTACAGCGCGCTGTTCCGCCGCACCTCCACCTTCGCCCTCACCATCGTCCTGGGCGCCGTCCTCTTTGAGCGCGCCTTCGACCAGGGCGCCGACGCCATCTTCGAGCACCTCAACGAGGGGGTAAGGACGGCAGCCGCCCCGCCGCGGGGAGCCGCCCCGGGCGCTAGGCCTAGGGCCCTGAAGGTCAGGCTAGGCCCGGTCCCGGGTTGCCCCCGCCTTCCTCGGGCCCGCGGTGCCCCGGCTGCATCGCCACCTTGGTTGCCCCCAGAAAGGCTCCGAGGGCCAAGGCGGCGGCGGGGCCGGGGTTCAGGGTCTGTCTCCCCGCCTGTGGAGGCTTTGGTGGTGTGGCGGCGCCCGGCAGGCAGGGCTTGGGTCTGGACCTCTCCCCGGCTGGGGAGCGGGTGTCAAGGGCAGTGAGATGGGGGAAGGTGGACATGGGCTGATCTGGCTTTGCACTGCCCAGGGCTGCAGCTCTGCCTGCCCTCATGGCCTGCCCTTAGCAGAGGGAGGGGTAATGGCTGGTGTCTGGGACAGCGGACTCTGCAGTCCTGGGCGTGAAGCTTAGACGAGATGGGTCAAGTCATCTGTATGTTTCAAAGTGGAGCTGTGGTGGGATAATCACTGCCTGGGGACTGAGTGACGTGGACGGGACATATAACAGTTTCCTGGACGGGGTGAGGCGATGCAACGCCTGCCCTAAGAAAAGGCAAGAGGTGCTGTAATTTCTATCTTGCACCAAGTACCAAAAAACTCAGCGTGTTGCGTGTTCCCATCTGCAGCACAGGGGTCCTTATCCCTGCCCTGCGGTGCTGGTGTGTCCTGGGTCTCTCAGAGCACCCAGGCATGGATTCCCAGCACAGCCAGGCCACCTGCATGGCTCTGCTGCTGGAAAGAGCTGCCCTGCGCCTTCCCTGACAGCGCAGTGTCTGCTCTTTGGCCTCCTGAACCAGGCCACGAAACCAGCTGGAAACTGATGCTGCACAAAGTGACCCCTTCCCTGCCCTGCAGGGGTTGGGTGAGCTGAGGAAATGCAGTAAAGAGCAAGATCAGGGTCCCCGTCTCCTCCTTTTTAGCAACAGTATTTTGTTAAAAGCTCCCCTCTTGCTGTTGCAGATTACTTTAATGAGAACTTGCATTTTAAAGCAAAACTTGATCCCAGGACCACTGAAAAGCTGGCTAAGATGACTGTTTATGGGGTTTTTCTGGTTTGTTTTACATACAGAAACTGTGGAAACACATCAAGCACAAGTATGAGACGAGCGATGAATGAAACGCTCAGCAGCAGGATCCAGCCTGGGGTGGCAAAAGACACTGCAGAGAAGGATTCGGCCTCCTGAAACTGGTTGTATCAAAAGGGAAATGGGTTCCCGATTGAACAACTCCAAGCCAGATTATATCAGCCACCTACTGATATGATGTAAACCACGATGGACTCAACGAGTTCTGCTGCTGCACTCAAACTTACGCTGTTAAAGTAATAAAAAAAAAAATGTTGGTCCATGTCTCATCCCTGTGTGTTCACCTGAGTGATTCTTTGGCCTGCTTGTGGCTTCTCCTCGTCTAGGGGATGGAAAATGCTTGAATCATGGAATGGTTTGGGTGGGAAGGGACCTTAAAGCCACCCCCTGCCCTGGGCAGGGACACCTCCCACCACACCAGCTTGCTCCAAGCCCCCTCCAACCTGCCCTTGAACCCCTCCAGGGATGGGGCAGCCACAGCTTCTCGGGGCAACCTGGGCCAGGCTCTCACCACCCTCACACCAAACAAGTTCTTCCCCACAGCTCAGCTCCATCTCCCCTCTTGCAGGGTCAAACCCTTCCCCCTCCTCCCAGGGCTCCCCTCCCTCATCCAGAGTCCCTCCCCATCTCTCCTGGAGCCCCTTGAGGGACTGGAAGGGGCTCCAAGGTCTCCCTGGAGCCTTCTCTTCTCCAGGCTGCCCTGCACCTTAGTTTCAAGACACTGTAAGAAAACAAAGTTCTAAAAATGGTTTGAAAAATCTGTAAGTGTTTATGGAGCTGGGCTCTGCTGGGAGCACCCTAGACTTCTGCCCGAGGAGAGCTCTGAGGGGTAGGGGGCTGTCTTCTAGTCTTTTTCACAGAGAAGTGACTTAAAATCACATCTTTTGTGCAGGCCCTTGGCCTGTTGTCCTTTCAGAGCTGCCTCCTTGCCTTAATTAGTGAGGACTCTGTCACCACTGGCCTTACTGAGCCTCGGGGGATGCTGGTCTGCACCCCTCAGTCTGCTGGGCTGGGAAGGGGGATGGCCTGTAGCTAAAGCTCAGCCAGAACCCGGGGATGTGGGTCTCTTTCCTGGCTGTTTCCCTGCCTTCTGGCTCTTCAAGTGGCCCGAGGGCAGAACCCTACAAGTCTCCTCGGTCAAAGGGGAGCTGCTGGGAAGGGAGAGGAGTCGCTGAGCTCCAGGAGGAGCCTTCAGTGGGAGGGGAAGGAGCAATTCTCTTCCCAGCAACTTTACAGTTAATTACTCCTGGCTCTCGGGTGGCTGGAGGAAGATCTGGCTGAGTGACTCCTGCTCTTTCCCAGCCCAGAGGCCATCTCTCCCTCCTCCCATATTTTCCACTAATAAGGAGGGATTTTAGGCGACGGATGAGGCAGAGCAAATTAGAGCTAATGAAAGAAGCTTTATTAGGTTCGCAAATAGGTGTCAGGAGTAAAACATTTACTCAAAGAGGACTTAAAAACAACATTGTGCTTGTGGGGTTGGTTGGGTTTTTTTGAGCAAAAAGACAACTACAAGTTTCCTGGTCTCAGCTGTGCTTTTACAGAGCTGCTGAAGAGGTTTAAGCTTTTTTTGGGATCATCTCCCAGCGTGGGACTGGCTCTGGCTGCAGTGCCCGCAGCTTCACGCCGTGCTGAGCAGGTGATGGGGAGTTGCAGCTTCTTGGAAGCAAGATCTAAAGATGAATACTGTGGGAGACTGGCTAGCTGAGAAGGGGCAGCTAGTCCAGCAAGAGCTTAATAATCACCATATTCAGCTTATCTAGCTCCCAATAACTGCAAGGCCTTGAAGTTGTTCTTCTGGCCTTGAAGGCAGCTGTGGTCCAACAACAGAATGTCTGTGATAAGGTAAGCATGTAGCTGTAAGAAAGGAATTTTGGGCAGATCTGTCTTTTTAGAACTAACCAATAATGAGCTCTCATTTTGCAATATGTATGAGCTAATTATGAGTGTGCATAAAAGAATGGTAGTGTGTCTAAATAAACGAAGCTTGCTGATCACTCATATTGAATGCTCATGTCTTCCCTCCGTTGCAACAGAATATGGTGTCAGGACAGGGGAGGTGGCACTGGACGGGCTGGCGGGGAATAAATGAAGCCATGAGCCTGGAGAAGAGGAGCCGAAGGGGAGCAGAGTTAGTTACCCCCGGCAGGTGATTTCCGACAGCACATTTGGGGGAAGCTGGTAAATGTAACTCCCTTTTTCCTACGCCTTGTCATGAGGGGCTTCGGGCAAAGAGAGATCTCGTCCTCGGAGCACTCAGGACTCATTATATTTGTGCAACAAATAACGTGGTGCTGAAAACAGCCCCAGCACAACAGCGTTTGGCAGTGGCACTTGTCACACACAGCCCCCAGCCCTACCCTCTGCCTAAATCCCGGCAGCGCCCTCCCTGCCTCCGGAGCTGACACCGGGGCGCTCCTCCTGCAGCCCTGGGCGTACCCCGGGATGGCAGCTCTCAGGCCACACACCCACCCCCACTGTCCCCAGCACCTTCCCCTGCTCTGCTTTAGAGGGCTGGACTAGAAAACACAGTGTGGTGGTGAGGAGATGGCACTCAGAGCTCATTAACCAAGCAAAGCCTAATTGTTTACCTGTAAGTTCATCTCCCCGATGAGGACGTTCGGGCAAAGAGAAATCTCGTCCTCGGAGCATCAGGACTCATTATATTTGCGCAACAAATAATGTGGTGCTGAAAACAGCCCCAGCACAACAGTGTTTGGCAGTGGCACTTGTCACACACAGCCCCCAGCCCTACCCTCTGCCTAAATCCCGGCAGCGCCCTCCCTGCCTCCGGAGCTGACACCGGGGCGCTCCTCCTGCAGCCCTGGGCGTACCCCGGGATGGCAGCTCTCAGGCCACACACCCACCCCCGCTGTCCCCAGCACCTTCCCCTGCTCTGCTTTAGAGAGCTGGACTAGAAAACACAGTGTGGTGGTGAGGAGATGGCACTCAGAGCTCATTAACCAAGCAAAGCCTAATTGTTTACCTGTAAGTTCATCTCCCCGATGAGGACGGCACTCCAAAAACGTGCTAATGCTCCGTGACAACAGCAACTGGAAGAGTTTTACCCCCAGCTGCTGGCGGAGGCTCCAGGCTTGCCCAGGCACGGTGCAGCAGCCATCGCCGCGGCCTTTGAGGCACCTTACGTTCCACCGTGACGGCGCTGACTGGTGTCTCTCCCTCTCCTTCCTGCGAACAGGTTCCACAGTGAGGGCACTGACTGGTGTCTCTCCCTCTCCTTCCTGCGTCTCCCTGCCTCCCTAACAAAAGGCAGCCCTCAGGAGAAGTCCTTTCAGCAGCTACAACCCGCTGTTTACCATTAGCTCCCAGCCTTCCCGACAGCAAACAGGAGGATGAGGACAGCTCTGCTCCTCGGAGTGTGACAAGTGGTTATTGAGGAGGCAGCTCCCCAGGGAGGCCCCGATCCCGCGGCCTTCAACTCCGATTTCCTCACCACTGTCATCGTGCTAAGGAAGCCTCCATCCCCATTTTCAAGTATCTTTAAGCTTCCCTGGCTGTGGCTGGATCTCATTACACTAAACCAACACACAAAGCAGCAGCTGAATTTCACTGCCTGCAGAGAGAGCACGTTAAAAGGCTCCGTGAGGTTCCTCCAACTTAAAAATCAATATGAGCCGAAAACACCAACTAAAAGGTTCAAATCATTTATTTGCACATTCTTTTTTTTTTTTTTTTTTTCCACACGCCTCACTCAAGGGACAGGAATTTATGGTAAGGTCTTGTCCACCTGAACTCCTGGGTGTCCCTTGGCAGTGGGAACAGCCTGAGCGTTTTCCCCCATCGCCCTTCAAGCTGTCCTTTGGGATAAGGCATTTTGGCGGCGCAGGAAGCCGCGAGGGCTGGACGAGGGCTGGTCCAGGGAGCCTTTTGCCCTCAGAGCTGCCCTCTGCACGGCCTGGAAACCCGCTGGAGTTGCGGAGAGGGCGCAAGGAGCCAGTACGAAAATAAAATTCTCAGAATTACAAATAGTACAAAAAGGAAAGGAGCGGCTGGTGCAGCCTGTCCGAGGCATCCCGGAGCCGTGCAGCTCTGTACATTGAAAAGCAGTCAGGGGCTGCGTGGGGGGCAGCTCCTTCCCTTCAACAACAGCCCTCCCACGGGGCGTGCGACTCCGCGGGGGCTGAAATGCCAGGTCTTGAATCCCAACATCCAGTGCCCCGAGCGGAGGGAGCGCCAAGGGAACGGAGCACGACTGCCACCTCCCAAAGCAGAGGGCCAGGGATGATGCACCACCAGCGCCGAGCGTCTCTCAGGAGGGAATCATGCCTTTATTCCGCTTCCTGTCAGCCATGGCTCGTCGGTTATGGTTGGCTCTTGTGCTTTTGTTTGCTTCCTTCTTCCTCCGCTCCTGCACCGTTTCCCGGTTCTGCCCGTGGCCCTTCACGTTCCCAACAACAGCAGAGCTGTCGTGCTTGTACCTGGAGCAGAGAGGAGAAGGCCATCAGGAGCAGCACACTGCACACTCAGGGGACAAAACACACCCATCCCGAGAAACAAGTGGATGTGAGGAGCTCAGCCCCCAGCTGCACCCAGCTCTGCAGGGCTGAGCATCAGCATCGGCCACACAGTGACCGCGTCCTTCTACACACCAAATCTGTCAGCTAAAGCCAGCCATTAAACTGTCCTGCAATCCCTGTGGGAGCTGTTCCAGCTCCGGGAAGCTTTTCCAGCTCTGGGAAGCTGTTCTCTCCAAGATGGGGTTCTGCTGCTTGTTGTGCCCACCCATGTGATGGGACAGAACGACCAGCAGCAAAGTAAAAGTTGGGTGAGGAAGTGAACACCACCACAATAGTGACCGTGTCCTACAGGAATGTAAAGGAACAGGTATATCCCCTCAGCAGTTCCAGTCAACAGCAAAATATCTGCTAACTGCAGAGCCCGGGCTTCACCCCCCAGAGGGAAACACTTCACAGAATCACAGAATCACAGAATCTTCTAGGTTGGAAGGGACCTCAAAGATCATCTTGTCCAACCATCAACCTAACTGACAAAAATAGACACCCACACAACAAACAAGGAGCATCATCACTAAACCAGACCTCCCAGCACTACATCAACCCGTCTTTTGAACACCTCCAGGGATGGGGCCTCAACCACCTCCCTGGGCAGCCCATTCCAAGGGCTGAGAACCCTTTCAGTGAAAAATTTTTTCCTAATATCCAGCCTGAACCTCCCCTGGTGTAACTTGAGGCCATTTCCTCTCGTCCTGTTGCCTGTGACTTGAGAAAAGAGACCGACCCCCACCTCT